CCCTTCCTCTCAGAAAACCTAGGATAGGGACTATAGATACTGCTGACCTTCTTATATTAATTGTTAAAAAAAAAAAAAATCTAACTCAGTTTTGTGAAAGTTTGATTCTAGGCCAAAACAAAACTTAAATAAAAGTTAATGCTCACGTTAATCTTCTTTTAAAACTTTAAAAAATGTTATAGTATCAAATGCTCCTTGCTGAGGTAAAATAAAAATTATGCTAAAAAGCCCTGCAGAGATTATGAGGTGCCACTCCTGGGCAGAACCACTCAAATGCCCCACTACCATGCAGCATGGACTACACTGAGATTGGGATGGCCCTCAAAATCCTTCAGGAAAGGGAGCAAGAGGCAAAGATGACACCAGTCAGAAAGGCAGAAGAGCAGGAAAGCACAAGATAAGAGAACAGCTGGGATGATAAAGAGCTGGTCAATAGTGCTGCAGAAATATCAGGGAAGAGGAGGTCTGAATTGCTTAGTGTCAACAATAAAGATAATTCCAAACATTATCCAAGTCACCAGGAGCTAAAAGAAAAGGGGTGATGATTCTAGTAACTTTCAAAAAGAAAGTCTTAGAATGACTCATCTTTTAAATAAGCATTTACTTTCCCTCTTTTCCTCAAACATGTTAGTGGTGTATGTTAAATGGTTAGCTCTGCACTATTATTAGCTAGTAAATGAGAAGGCCAATGGCAACAAAAAAATGCATGCTAAAAACAAAACTGATTTGCTTACTAAAACAAGAAAGTCTAAAATCAAACGCAATTTTTGATTAAACTTGAAATGTAAACACCTTCAAAGCTTCAAAGAAACTTCTGATCATGTCATTAACTTACCCGAAGAGGCGTACACTTTCTTACTATCTGAAGAGAACGTGGATGCTGCAATCCTTCCATTTACTTTCATGCTACTAATCAATTCTTTAGTCTAAAAAACAAAAGTACTAAATATTGCTTATCAAATCGCCGTAGGAGGTGCACCGAAGAATCACACTGTGTAGCATAGAACACCCAGCTCTCCATTTTGTAGCACCTACTCGGCGTTTTTCCCTGTTCTCCAAAGTTCTCCCCCACCTGCCCACAGCTTCTCCCCAAGCGCCACTCTGCTCCTCTACTTGGGATGCAGACTTATGGACACCATGAGTTATGGGTCCCAGCTGTGGGCAAACTACGGCCCGCGGGCCGGATCCGGCCGTTTGAAATGAATAAAACTAGTGAAATAAAAGACCGTACCCTTTTACGTAATGATGTTTACTTTGAATTTATATTAGTTCACACAAACACTCCATCCATGCTTTTGTTCCGGCCCTCCGGTCCAGTTTAAGAACCCAATGTGGCTCTCGAGTCAAAAAGTTTGCCCACCCCTGAGGTCCATCCCTGCACTAATGTCTTATCCTAGAAGAAGCAACCACTAATAATGCTTCACCTTCATTGACAGCAAATGAAAATATCCAGCAACGCCATTTATGAGCAAGAAGGACCCATCTGAGGAGACTTCGAAGCTCCTTACTATCTTCTCTTTCAAACCTAGGAAGAAAGGGGAATCAATTAAATAAGGATTAATATGGTTTTCCATAAAGCTATCTTTCATTGACAATTGAAAGTTTCTGATCTTTTAAAATATCTAAGCACCTCAAATTAAACAAAACCTAGCCTCAGCCACTGAATAAGTCTGACCCTCCTTCCACTCTCTCTGAAAAGCAATGGAAAAAAATATATTCAGGTGAGGATTAACCCAAAAAAATTTTTTTTAAAAAAGGATAAGTGTATTTTCATCCAAAGCTTACAGTATATTATTCTAGTTATATGTACATATATAGCGTTTTGCGTTTAACCTCACAAAAAATAGTGATAATTGCTAGTATCGGTATTATAATTGCTCTTTACAAATGCTGGACCTTTCAAAATAAAAGGCAGAAAATTTTAATAGGATCGTATTTCAAAACAAAACAAATTTACAATGTGGCCTAAGGAAAGAAGATACAATGCTTTAACGATGTCAAATACAAACCTTTTTTTAGATTTGTGAAGATTTTTAGGTCAACTGCTGACAATTGATAAGAAAAGGGACGGCCAATTTCCATAGTATAGTAAGTGGGTTTGTGATAGGCAGTTAGATGGACATTGGCCAGGTACAAAAGGTCACTAGGGCGGAAAGCCTCGGGTGCCTAGCAACAGGCAAAACTGGAAAAACAAGGACCTCGCTCCTCCGTTAGCATATAGCTGATCATGCAGTTTAGACCCCTTGACCTTTCTTATCACTGATCACATGGCTCCGACTCTCTCCTGGCATGTCACTAGTCATGCATAGACACAGCCTCCTTGGAGAAGGAACAAGGGGCTGAAGAAGACTCCCAGGCAGACCCTTGCATGACCACTCCCTTAAGCATTAACCTCTAGGGCTAATACAGAAGCCTCAGTTTTGTTTCAGCTCCAGGACCAGAAAAGCAGCAAAGCCAGACAGAGGTACCATGGCTGACATTAGGACCAGATAAACTGACTAATGACCCTCTGCCCTGGCACCAACCAATCACTGGAGACCACAACCCTGATTGAAAGAACACACCTGGAAAGCTGAGGTATATTCTATTGAGACCCAGGGCTAACATCGAAGCCTCAGTTTTGTTTCAGCTCCAGGACCAGAAAAGCAGCAAAGCCAGACAGAGATACCATGGCTGACATTAGGACCAGATAAACTGACTAATGACCCTCTGCCCTGGCACCAACCAATCACTGGAGACCACAACCCTGATTGAAAGAACACACCTGGAAAGCTGAGGTATATTCTATTGAGACCCTCTGGAGATTTCCCAATAAATACCCTCGAGACAAGGATCTAGTGCATGCCTTAAAATACATTCCAACCTCTAAAAGCAGTACTTTATTTCCTTTAAATGTAAACCAAAATTCTATTATAACAAACACTAGAACCCGAGGTTACCAAAATTTCCTGAAGAGCAGAGAGGTGAAATAATTTGTCGAACAAAGTGAAACACACATCTTCTATCTCCCAGGCTCATGCTCTTCCTCTGCATTAATTGCTAATTTTACAGACAAGTATTTGCAACTGCTTTTCTGGTCTAGGGGGATATATATTTCCAAATTATGATTTTCCCATAATAAGTGTTCAATGCAAAGCCAGTTCACTGTTTTCATTCAAACATTATTTCAACAATGCAATGACATTTTCTAAACAATACTATAACTAAAGAAACTTATTTTTAAGAATCCTATAGGGAGCATTTGATCTTGCTCCCCAGCATAAGTCATCGTTTTGGCTCAAATAAATCCTTATAAAAATTCTCTTAAAATTATGAGGAAACTAAGTGGCTGTAAATACTGTTAAATGAACTCGGCTGTGGGCTGGGGAGTTGGGGGATGACCAGCTATGTGTTCAACAGAAAGCTTACCTCTCACTTGATGTACTGGAATCAACTTTCCAGCCAGCATGTCATAGACATAAAGCACCTTGCTGTGGGTACTTGTGGCTAAAACCTCTTCTCCATTAGCACTAAAACGAGCCTTAAAGATTGGAAACTTTTCCAAATAGATGCTCTGAATTTTAGGATTTGTTTTCCCATCAACCTGTAAGGAAGTACAATTAACATTATTTTCCTTAGAGCATGAAGGAAAGACATTATAAAATAGTTTATTTGCAGAACAGAGCCCACTGAAATGGTACCAAAAGACCACAGCTCTGCTACCAACTAGCAGGTCATTTTACCATACAATAATCCATTTTTACTATCTATCAAATAAAAATTAGATTAAACTCATAGAGCACCAGGATACAATCACTTCTCTAAGATGCACCCTATTGGTTTGGTTTGTTTTTTTTTAATCTCCACCTGAAGACATGTTTTTATTGATTTTTGAAAGAGGAAGGGGGAAAAACATCAATGTGAGAAACATTGATTGGTTGGCTCGTAGAGCACCAGGATACAATCACTACTCTAAGATGCACCCTATTGGTTTGGTTTTTTGTTTTTTTTAAATCTTCATCTGAAGATACGTTTTTATTGATTTTTGAAAGAGGAAGGGGGAGAAACATCAATGTGAGAAACAGTGATTGGTTGCCTCCCATGTGCACCCCAATGGGGCATTGAACCTGTAACCTAGGTATGTGTCCTGACCAGGAATCGAACCCACAACCTTTTGGAATACACCCTATTTGGCTTAAAAGACTGACTTCCAGGGAAATTTTACCTAAAACTATGCAGCATCTTTGCATTCATGGCACAAAATAAGAAGCTCTATGATTAGCATGACGTACTTATGTTCTGCAGGGTGTGTGGTTGTTAGTGTAAAGCAGGAATCCTCAAACTACGGCCCGCGGGCCACATACAAATACAAATATTGTATTTGTTCCCGTTTTGTTTTTTTACTTCAAAATAAGATATGTGCAGTGTGCATAAGAATTTGTTCATAGTTTTTTGTTTTTTTTTAAACAATAGTCCGGCCCTCCAACAGTCTGAGGGACAGTGAACTGGCCCACTGTTTAAAAAGTTTGAGGACCTCTGCCTTAATATCTCTACTTCATGCCACATATCTCATTCAATAGGCAGATAAGGAGCTCTAGGAAGGCCACTGTCGTGCTCTTTGGACAAAGGCCACAGACACTGAA